AAAAAAAAAAAAAAAAAAAAGAAGGAAAAGTAAAACAATTTAGATCATACTGTATATCAATTGATATGTATGTGCCTCAGTGTGTAAAGCATAACTAATAGCAACGTTCAGGAAATTCAAATGTTACAGGTACATATAGTCGTCATTTTCCGCCCACAGTGCGTAAATAAAAGAACTAAATTGTCACGACTAGACAAAGAAAAATAATATTCCAGAGATAGGTATCCCCACTAGTTTTTGGCATCAAACCTCCCTCTTACTTAAGAACAGAGACATGTGACATGTCCATCTCCCACCTCGTTGATTTACATTTTTGCCGCCATTATTACCGTCCATTATTGACATTTAAATATTACTTATGCAAGAGCTTCCCCTAAAGAGAGATGCTTACATTTGACAATTGGAACGTATTTACCAAATCTAAAGGTTTTTATATTTTACAGCACGTGGAAAAATCCAATTTTTCCTGAAGCCCAAAACCCAAAAAGAGTGGCTTCCATTTTTACTCTAGGAATCTACCAATGAAAAAGACCGTATGTCAGTAACCTAGAAACAAGATCCATAGAAAATGTGGAAAGTAATATAGAATACACACTATCGACGGAAGAAATTTTTTTAAGGACTGAAAAAACCTTCTTCAACAAGGAGAAGGAGAAGGAGAAGGAGAAAAAGATCGAGCTAATCAAGCTTACCAAAAAATTCATGTTCCCTGATTCATATTCAAATTCAAGCTTTTCAGTGTCGCTTTGAGCATAGATCGAATGAAGCGTAAAGCGAGTAACTGGAATTCCATCAGAGCGCTGGTGGTCATCCATAACAATCTGGCAAAGTATTTCGAAGATCACTTCAACTAACTTCAGAAATATGAGCAAAAATTTCAGTCCAGAAGACATGCAAAAAGGATATTGGCTGTTTACATTAGTATAGAGACAAGATACGTTTACCATAACTCAATTGCACCAAACCCCAACTGATAATAATATATCAGTGGTTGGTTTTCGAATTTCCACAAATAGACTCAATAGGTCTACTGATCTTTCAACGGTAAAAACTAAAGTATAGTTTCCCTAAAAAAGACGAAGTTCGTTCAAGGATACTAGAAATTCACACTTGGCCATTTCTTGTACTGTATATGATTTGAAAGATAAAAAACGATCAAAAAATGCTAGTGAGTAAACAGGGTTTCAAGTGTGATCCAAATCTAACACAAGTACATGAAATTTTAGAGCATAAACTACGTCATATCTTCTTCATTCCTAAGTTCTGTATTATTAACTTGCAATAATATCTATTTCGGTATCCTATTTAATCAAATATAAAATATAATCCCAAGCTAGCATCTTCTTTTTGTTAGAGTTCAAAACTTAGCCAAAAATCTCTCCCCCTTTTTTCCAATTGAGTTTGGAGGGAAAGAGGGAATTGAACGATCGAAATTTCAAATATGTCCAACGATTTTATGCAGTGAGGGTGATAATCACAACAAAAGAACAGGATCGGTCCTCAACACAAAAGTTAACGGGATTTACCCAATACATGTAAATTGCAAGAGAAAATGGGAAAATGTAAATGAGAGGAAACAGTTAAAAAAAAAAAAAAAAAAAAAATCCTATTCATGTCAAAAACAAGCATGCTGGCTACAGAACAAAAATATTGTATCCCAACTATTTCTGTTTTTACATGGTATCGATTCTTTGATTATGTAATGGAGCAGCTTTCTCTGATTTGACTAGGAAGATGTACCTTGGTCATGCTGTTTTCACATAAACTTGGCTACTGCCTGTCAGCAGCCAATTTACTAACACTAGTTAATTGTAGTTTGAGAACCAAAGAGAAAGTTCTAACATGACATACCTTGTAACCAAAAAGTTCACAGCATGCCCTTCTAAAAACTGAGATTCTGTCGGCAAAAACTGTTTTATATCTGTTTCATCAAATACTCAAGACTTTTTACTTTATGCAGAAGAGCTAAAATTAAATGCTATAGCAGATACTGAGAGAATTTTATTTGACATTCACCTCTCCTCCCGTTTCTCAAGTGTTGCAATTTGCTCTTTCAACTGCTTAATCTTTCCAGCAATGTAGGAATCAACCAGTGTGCCAGAATCAGCTGAAGTTAAATAACAAATTAGAGCAAGTAAAAAATCACAAAAAAAAGAGCCAGTGAGTTAAGAGTATATTTCTAATGAACATGCACTGTGCAAATGTAGAAGAGAAAATTTGAAGCTAGACAAAGAATATATTTTATTTGCATCATGGATCTTAGCTCCATTTTGAAAGGTAAAGCCATAGTCTCTCTGTCTTGGCTGCTAAGTGCAAATCTTTCATACCAACAAATTCAGCACCAGTTGTTGGACAGTGTACTTGTAATAGCTTCCATCTACTTCCATATTGAAATGTTGCCTAAATTTTCACAAGACCATAGAAACCTCAAACGAGAGGTTTGCAAGAATAACTACCTATGCCATAAAACCAATGAACCACTGAAAATTTGAAAGGAACATCGCTAAAACTTATGTACGGAATCTTATGGACTATTTCAGCATCAACCTCATAATAACAACCGGACGCCACACCGTGATAGATGTAAAAAATTGTAAGTAGAAAGCTTATTGAAGTAACTACCTGACTCAACACCTATTTTATACCAGCATGTGACAATTGTCCTTTAGAGTGATTACCTTTAAATCTAAGGGAAGCCATTTGGCGTCCAGAGAACCAAAGCTTAGTCCATCCCATCTTGTAGTGCCAACAAGGGGGTTAAATTGGACCACTGTCCCAACTTAAATCCTGCCACACTTTTAAGTATGCAAATTTGGAAGATGCTTATGCTGGCTCGTCAGCCATACTTCTGTGGAAGTTTCTTTTTTATGTCACAATTTTACCTTGTTGACGTAAAAAATTCGGGGAGTTAGACCCCCAGGTGCATAATACCTTTTTAAGTTTTTGTACATATCCTCCATGAAAGGAGGGAAAGAACAAAATTCATGACAACTTGAACAGCCATTCACAAAACACCGTGCCAATAACTTGAAGATTAAATGCTTGTTTGGTATAGCTTAAAAAGTTGTGGTCAATGTCAACAATTAATTTTAACCACACAATTCATTGGACTCACAACTTTCATCAAATTTTCAACCACACATTTCATCAACTTTCATCAAAATCTTCTAAAATTGTTATCAAAAGCTTTGTGAAACAACTCTTAAAATTGCCCCAACTGCTGTTGAAATATAGGTGCAACACCGCAGACCCCTTCCCGCCCCTTCCCACCCCAATTCAAGGTTCCCCAAGCCCAAAGTTCAGGGAGTTCCTGCTGTACACAAGTAATCCACGCACCTCCAAAATGCTTGTTTAGCAGTTCTTTACCATGAGATATTAAGCGTAACTGGGATAGAGCATTGTACTAGTGACAAAGACGAGAAATGTTTGAAGGAAGAACCAAAGTTTCAAAGAGGCTGACGATCTAACAGTTGATTATCTTACGTGACTGCTTTTTAAGGTCTTCAACAGCCTGCAATTTCTCCTTCGTCTTCTGCAACTCATTTTGCAGAGCCTCTATTGTTTGTTTTGCCTCGTTCTCAACTGCTAGGGTATTAACCATCCGTAGAACTTTCGTATTTGCAGAAGAAAAGTCACCATGTCCCAGCTGCACAATGGGAAAAAATAATAAGAATAAAAGTAAAGGTAGGAAAAAGTATATTGCAATTGCATCCAGAAAGATGACTTCAGCCAAAAAAAAAAAAAAAAAAAACTTGCTTCTAGCTCTAGCCATTTTACTTATGACGCTTTAGTTCTTGAAGATCATTGTTGATTGCACTACACATTTCAAAACTTGAAGACGAGATCCCTTGAATTCCATAATCATCATTAACAATAAATCCATCATCATAGAAGACTCTAACTGAGATAACCAGATTCTAATGGGATATAAGCATTAAAAAAATGGGGAAGACCACACGCATTCCTAACTCACAGCTATAAGATGTCAAGGCACAAATAAGAGTCGAAGCACCAAAAGGAGAATTGGGAATTTTTCTGATAGGAGATCAAAGTGTTTTTCCTTGGAGATGGAAAATTCGCATGACCATACTTGAAAAAAATTCAAGCTTTCTACTAAATTCCGTGGTCGATGAGCTTGTGCCCTGAGTTCTTCTATATAATACCGATTACCCCTCATCACAGACTGATTTGGGATTTCTTTTTGTTCAGTGTGGTTCTTTATCTATTTCCTGTGCATATTATGAAAATATGAGTCATAATAACACATGTACCAACTTTCAGTTATAAAAAGTATGATGGTAGTGTAAAGCACAAGAATATTAGCAAAGGCACAGCTAGCAAAAGACCGGAAAATACTCTGGCATATATCTCTCTTATAGCACTAACCTTGGATTCCAATATAGCTATCTCGGAACGGAGGCGATCACCTTCTCTCTCCAACATCTTTATTCTTTTTGCTTCATTATTTAACCTCTCGCTTAGCAATTTTATTTCATCGAGTTGATGTCTATTAGTTTCCCTTTGTTCAGATAAGTTGCTCTCTAGTTCCCTGATAAAGCTGTCCTTCTTGGCAAGAGACGATTCTAGTTGCTGTCAACATAACAGAATTTATGAGCATAGATGAACCGGAAAAATTCTGTGAAAATACTAATTTTTAAGACAATGGCACCCCATTACTTGAGCAATAGTTCCACTGACTAGTTCCTTTCCGCCATCAAGACTCTTGCACCCTTTCATTTCGTCAACAGCGTGCTTTCTTTCCTCTGTAAGTGATGCAATCTACAATAAAAAAGCAGTTCAAACATAAAAATTGTTGGAAGACCAAACAAAAAGTTGGAGAAGTTTAAAATATGCTGTATTCCTTTTATTCGCTTCTATACAATTAGGAGGGAACAGCAGATAAAAAATAATGACCTCCAGTAAAAACTTTGAAAGGAAGCAGTAGCCCCATGTTCATATATTTAAACTCATGGTAGTTCGCAGAACATTTTTCATCAATTATCCACTTAGCAAACTTGAGTCATACAGGAAGTAACAAAAAGTGTAAAAAAGCATCAGTGTCATCAAGCACTTTGGCAAGATCATTAGGATAATAATACCCAATGACAAACTAAATAGCGAGTGTTTGTCCTTGCATCAGAGTGTAGAAAGAATTCTACTAACCATCAATTCTAGCCTTTTAATTTCTGATCTAGATGATTCAGCCCTCTCTTTTGCCAGTGCAGCCTCAGCTTCTGCATTTTCTTTATCAAGCAATGTGGTATCAAGAGCAACTTCTACTTGTTTCAAGCGTGCTTGGGCCTCACCTGCTTTCATCATGCTATCATAAACCTCTCTGCATGAGCCCAGCGACGATATAAATAATTTTATGCAATTCAACACTGCCTCTCGAATAATAGGGAGTTAAGCTAATATAAACCACATTTCCAAGAAACAACATCGAAGGAGTAAAATAGCGTTGATCATATGATTCATATTTACTTAAAACCTTATTGCTTAACGAGAAGATAGAATTATATTGCTGATACGAAGCATCAATTTTCCTTGAAAATTATTTATGAACCTAATTCGTCGAAGTTGGTAATTTGAAGCAACATGTGAAGCATAGATATTAAAGAACAGAACTTATTCCTCAAGATTAAGGCAATGGTTTTTTACTTTTAGAAACTCTAGTGAATAGTGAACGAAGTAAAATATGACCAGGACACATACTTCTGTAAAGCTCCAAATTTAAGTGGTAAATCATCAGCACGTGACACGCCAGGAATGTCTTTAATCATTGATTTCCATGTGGATATCTCATCCTCTAACTCCTTCAACCTTAGCTGGATGTCTGATAACTTGTGTACATCTGACTCTGCCCTTTCCCTGCGACCTTTTTCCTCTAGTAACTTCTCTTTCAACAACTTTTCCTCAAATAACTTCTCTTTCAACAACTCAATTTTTTCATGAGAAGATATGATCTTTCTGGCTTCACGCACTTCACACTCCTGAAATACTTTGAGAAATATTCAATCTTCTGCCTTAGAGTAATGTAAGAAAAATGTGCACGCTAGATAATTCTATGAGATAAAGGATATAAATCCAATGTGCATAAGCCTGAAAATCAAATATGTCCAATGCTCAACAGTGAAACACCCTGTAGACAAAACAAATTATACGGTAGCTGCAATCACCAAATACTAGCAAATCTACCACTTTACAATGTAGAAATTCTTTGGAAGCAAATCTACAGCAATATTATCTTGTTCGTAAATGGGTTATTGTCTTCAGCAAAGACCGTGATGGTACTTTAAGGCTTGTAGAAAAAAGAAAAAAAAAAGGTTATACTGTGGAACTTCAGAAGGCATCTCGTATTTGTCCATTGTCCTCCATGTCCAACTTTCTTCTTTGACTTTGGGTTGCCGAAGAGTGGTATTATATGTACTTTTACAAGTTCGCTTTCTACAATTAGTTTCTTTCAAGTAATCAAAGCATAATCAAAGTATACATGCTAACAATGAATAAAACAAAAAACTTACATAAGGTTATACTGTGGAACTTCAGAAGGCATCTCGTATTTGTCCATTGTCCTCCATGTCCAACTTTCTTCTTTGACTTTGGGTTGCCGAAGAGTGGTATTATATGTACTTTTACAAGTTTGCTTTCTACAATTAGTTTCTTTCAAGTAATCAAAGCATAATCAAAGTATACATGCTAACAATGAATAAAACAAAAAACTTACATAGCTCCTTAGTTCTTCTTGCAAATGCTTCACCAACAAATCAGCATCCTTCGAAGGAGTCTCGGCAGATGTGAATCTTGATAACCTTTTTTCCACCTCAAATTTCTCCTGCATGCACTGGTGAGTAAAGACAATAGTGTCATTCTATCACATCCAATGATAAAGACAGTCTAAATGCAGCAATGTGTAGTATGACAAGAGTGGTAACAAAAACTCATGGGTCAAATCAACAGACGATTCCTGTTCAGTTNAGTCTAAATGCAGCAATGTGTAGTATGACAAGAGTGGTAACAAAAACTCATGGGTCAAATCAACAGACGATTCCTGTTCAGTTCATAGGTAATTTAACCTATTGCACATAACAATGCTTTTAACCATTATCACGAGTCATGTTGTAATGCAATAAGCAAATCAGCTATACTTCAACAATATAACCTCTACCATTTACCAAATAACATCTAAAATTATTTCATATTGCAAAATGAAACTTCTAGTACAAATCTTATATCTTTATTCACATTTTCACATTTCTAATTTGAAACCACACTAGTAAGGGAGTTGCCATGTAATAAATACCAAGAAATGATACCATCCAGTTTTAAGATGAATCTACCATCAATATTACTCCAAGGGATGGACTCACCTAGGGCCTGGAGGCCTTGCCCCCTTTACCCCTCCCAAACCTAAAACTTTACAATTCTGGGTATGCCCATAAATGTACAAGCGTTAGAAAATCTTTGCATTTTACATGTTGACTCCCAAAAATTGAAGACATCTTTTCAGGTGACCACCTAAAGAATTTGTTACGTCCAAACCAAGATCATGAACTTTACCTAATGTCTACATACATGTAACTTAGACCCATCCTGCTCCTGCCTATAATTTCGTATCATATCTGTTTTCCTGAAGCAAATCTTCCTGGACTATTTACTTACAACCTATACTTGTATGATATTTTACTGCAATGGTGGAAATAGATTTCGCACCTTTTGAAATCCTTGCATGATAATCAACAAAAATAGCCTCACGTTCGCAGCAGGTTCCCTTGAAGTGAGCAAAATTTAGGACGAATTGTAAAGACTAGTGTAATAAAAACTTTACATTTAAAAAATATGGCCTCTACCATTTGCCAAATTATATTTACAGTTATTTCAAATTGCAAAATGAGGACAAATCTCATATCTCCACTGACCTGTTAATTTGAAACTATAAAAGCTAGGCAGTGTTACCATCCAGTTTAAAGATGAATACACCATCAACATTACTCTAAGCCTAAGGGGTGAACTTACTCAGGAGCTGGAGGTGCTTTGTCCCTTCCCATCCCACCCCCAACCTAAAATTTATAATTTTGCTAAACTTCATTTCCAACCACACATTCCAATGGATTCACAGGTAATATCCACTTATCTACCACTAATTTTTATCTATTTATATAAATATATTCTTCCCAAACAGAGGCTTACATGCTGACTCTCAAAAGTTTTAGATATCTGATTATGTAAACCACCCAAAAGTTGTTAGGTCCAAACTAAGTTCGTACACTCTTACCTAATGCCTAAATACATGTAACTTAAACCCATCCTACCTATAATTTCATATCATATCTGTTTCCCTAATGCATATTTTCCGGGACCATTCACTTAAAACCTATACTTATTGAATATGATATTTTACGGCAATGGTGGAAACAGATTTCCCACATTTTGAAATCCTTAAGTGTAAACGAATAAACATTGCCTCACATTGGCTGCAGGTTCCCAATCAGTAAGCAAAATTAAGGAAGTGTTGTAAAACACTAGTGGAATAAAAACTTAGAAAGCCCAGCCCCCCTGTGCGAGAACAAAGAAAAAATGGCCATGTGAGCTCAATCATTGGTGTGGACTTAGTGCATGATCAAATAAATATGGTGAAAGTTTCCAAACTATGAATAAGTAGAGTAATTTACCTCATTCAGACGCTTCTTAATTTCTTCCAACTGCTCTTTCAGCAGTGCAGACTCTTTTTCGGCATTTTTAGCTTTGCATTCCATTCTCTCAAGCTGAAGAGAAAGATGAAAAGTTTAGAATTTAACATTACAAAGAACAACGTCTTTTCTCAGTAAACAGATTGTGGTACTGACATCTGCACTTATTCTATCAATCGACAGTTTTGATCCACTTCTCATTTGTGCAAGCTCATTCTCAAGACGACTTTTTTCCCTTTCGATGCTTTCTGATAGAGTATTTAGTTTCCCCTCTAAAACACTTGTTTTTTCTTCAGCAATGGCTGCAGATGACTCTGCCTTCTTGCGAAGATCCATCTCGTTTCGCAACTTTATCTATATATATATATATATACACAAAGAAAAAAAAGACGAAGATTTACAACATATAACTTACAACACAAGGAAAAACATGTAAAAGAACATAACAAGTTAATAAATGATATAGAAGAACTCTTTATGGGAAAAAAGAGGAGGGAAACATAAATGAAACAAGTCTCCAAAAGAAACAACTAACTGCCAGACGTTTGTCGTCTGACGAATAACACAAATAGGGGTAACTTATAAACTATGGTTTAGGCCCTTTAGGAGATAAGATTTCAACAGAAAATTCTGATCTCATCAACTAGTTGTTTCACTAGCTTCATTTGGTCACAGCTAGAGAGAAGGTACTGTTGGGTGTAGTTCATGTACAATGTAAACACTGTTCCACATAAAAATTAGGATTAGATAAATTGAAAATTTACCCACTGCAGTGGAAATCATATTAGTCTCCCCTTCCTAGACCCGATTATTATTATAATTATCACTTGGATGACTGAAGTGAATGATGTAGTACAACTACAATAGGATTCTTACTACAATTGTATTTTATATTTTCTAAGAGTTTATTTTCTTTTTAGTTTTATTGTGTTAGGACTTTTATTTTATTGAGAGTTTTAATTACAATAGAGTTTTATTAGTTAACTGGTTTCCTTATTTCAATTTCCTAGTACTGTTAGGAATAGGAATAATTTGCCTATAAATATAGAAACTATTATACAATTTTCAATCAATTATTCATTATTCAATCAATAGAAGCAAATTATTCCTATATCATTTCATATTTCTTTCATTATAATTCTTATTACAAGAATTCAAACACGCTTCCGCACCAAAATTGGTATCAGAGCTAAGGATTTCACCTCAATCTCATGGCTAATGACGGTTCGAGTGGCAGAAAAACCACCGACAACGAACGGAGGTTTGAAAAAATTAAGTAGCGACTAGAAGGGATGGATGAAACTCTTCGCAACATCACGTAGATGTTGACTGCATTGACAGTTGAAAAGAGTCGTGGATACATGGCAGAACAGCCAAGCTGGAAGGAAGATGGACAGAGAATCGACAATACAGACTCTGGAGATGAAGGAGTTGCTAACCTGGATGCAAGAAATCCTCGTGCCGTAGCAGAGAAGGGACTACCCCCTATAGACCAGCCCCAGGTCAACCCGGACATGGGAAAGAGACACCGACCCCTTGCAGATGATCGATTCCAACCACCAACAGGGGAAATCCAGGGCGGAACCACCTTGCGCAGAGACCATCGCGACACCGCTCCTTTGCGGTTCTATGAACGAAGAAATAAAGGTGGATGGCGAGATGAAGGTGATGGTCGGCGAGGTGCTCCAGGCGACGGTGACGTCGATCTTGCCGATAGGGATGGTCGGTCGAGAGCAGTTGTTAGGAATTTGGAACGGCATAGAGGAAATCGGCTCGGGTTCGAAGGATTGGAAGATGACTGCGATTTTGAGAATGAACGAGGCTGTGGAGATTGACCAAGGCAATGATTTTGACCCTCAATTCAATTTTGACCAGAGGAAATTTTGACCGAGTTATTAATTTTGACCGAGGACTTAATTTTATTCGACAACCGAGAGATAGCCACGAGGGTTCGACTACTCATCCGAAGAAGAAGAAAATTGTCGACCAAGGGTCAACCATCGAGGTCTAAATGTTCAAGAATTTAAGATGAAGATGGACTTGCCAAGTTTTGACCATCGATTAAATATTGAAGATTTTTTGGATTGGATCCATACTCTCGAAATTTTTTTCGACTATTTAAATATTTCGAAACAAAGTCAAGTTAAACTAGTAGCGTACAAATTAAAAGGTGGAGTTTCTGCATGGTGAGAACAATTACAGTTTAATCGTCAAAGACAAGGAAAGCAACGTGTGCAAACCTGGCCCAAGATGAAACGCTTGTTGTAAAGGCGATTTCTTCCTCCGGATTATGAACAATTTTAGTACCAACAGTATCAGAATTGTCGACAGAATAACAAAACAGTAAATGAATACACGGAGGAATTCTATCGATTAAATGCTTGAGTTAATTTGTCTGAAACTGAAGCTCAATTAATTGCTCGTTATATAGGAGGCTTGAAATTAGTCATTCAAGATTGACTCGCCCTCCACGAGATTTGGACCATGACCGATGCAGTCAATTTAGCAATGAAAGTGGAAAATCAGATTAATAGAACTACAGCCCGTACTCAAGGAAATTTTCGACAGCCAATTCAAGAACTTATACTACTCCAAAGGGTGCAACAACCTCAAATAACAACAATAATAACAGCAAGGATGTTACCCCCGTCCAAAATTCAACACAAAATCAAAGAGGAACTTCCGCTCCTGTTCGATCTAACACCCAAGGCAGAAATCAGATACAACCACGAGCCAATAATGACCCTTATGCACGTCCTAATCTGGGAAAGTGCTTCCGGTGCAATCAAACAGGTTATCTTTTCAAATAGCTGTCCAAACAGACGATCTATTAATTTTGCATAAGAAGACGACAGTGGAGAAGAGCAAAATCTTGAAGACAATGATTATGAAGGTGGTGATGTTGCAGATGCAGATTCAGGGGAAGAATTGGCATGCATCATCCAACGCCTTTTGCTTGCTCCCAAAAAGCCCGATACCTCTCAACGACACAAGATCTTCGGGACTCAATGCACTGTTCGTAATAAGCTATGCAATGTGATCAATGACAGCGATAACAGTGAGAGTGTCATTTCGAAAGCAGTGGTAAAGGCTCTAAATCTGAAGACAGAGAGACACCCTTCGCCATACAAGATTGCATGGATAGAAAAGGGCCTGGAAGTTCAAGTTTTAGAGATTTGTAAGGTTCATTTGTCAATTGGAAAATATTACAAAGATGAAATTATCTATGATGTGGCGGATATGGATGCTTGTCACATTTTATTGGGTTGTCCATGGCACTATGGTGTTGATGCCACTTATAAGGAACGGGATAATACTTTCATGTTTAGGTGGTTAATTAGGAAGATCGTTTTAGTACCACAATCTCCACCTGTGGAAACTAAACCTGCCATCAAGGAAGATAAACCACTTTTTACCAACATCTCAGGCCCAGAATTCTTGGAACAAGTAAAAGAGCCTCACACAGTATTGGCCTTGGTTGTTATCCCACCAAAGTTCAGAAAGTACTTGCTGATTTTGCCAAGATAGCACCCGACAAGTTACCAAACAAGTTGCCCCCTATGCAAAATATACAACATCAAATTGATTTGGCACCCGGAGCTAGTTTACCTAACTTGCCA